ATCTCCCCAAAACCCCAAAACCCCGTGTTAGAAGTAAAAACTTCCTGAAAAAAATTTCACTTGAGGTTAGTTAATCAAATTATATTATATTTAAATTAAAAGTAATGAGCAAAAAGCAATCATTAGAAAATCAAATCATAAAAGCTAAAAGTAATATACGAACTCAAGATGATTTAGTCTAATCCTAATAGACTTCAGAGGCTGAAAGTATGAATCACAGACGTTTATAGGCAGAGGCAAAGTATAAAAATAATGTGTCTAGTAAAGCTAACGAGCTCTTTTAAAAGCAGTTATAACTTAAGATTTAAAAACCTAGGAATGAATTTTTAAATAAGAATCAGAGTGAAAAAGTAAGGTAGTAAGTTAAAGAAAAAGTAACTAAGGATATTGAATTGGAATGAGATCCAAATGATAAGATTATTGATTAGGAAATAGATTCCTTAGAATAAGTAATTGTTAAAACAAAGAATAGTCAGGCTACTAGTAATCCTGATAAGGTAATTTGAGAAAACATCAAGGTATTTGTAAGAGTTAGACCAATAATGAAAACTGAAGTTGGGAAAGAAGAAGTTATTTTTATTGGCAATGATAGCAAGACAATTAAAATCAGAGATTTGACTCATTACAAAGAGTCAAATTACCAGTATGTTTTTAATCAAAAGTCAAGGCAAAAGGAAGTATTTACTCTAGCCATCAAAGATTGTGTTGATAGTGTATTTCAAGGCTATAATTCTACTATTTTCGCATATGGTTAGACTGGTTCTGGGAAAACTTTTACTATTTTTGGAGATGGATTTTAGTCATCAACTCTTTAATAGATTATTCATAAACTTAGCATGAGGCAGCAATTATCGAATCAAGAACTTTCTAATTAGGAGTAACTTTAGTTAGAGAAACTTAATAAAATCCGTAAATCGAGGATTGGGATTATTCCCAGATGCATTAATCAAATATTTGATGAAATTTCTTAAAAAGATCTCAAGTGCACTGTTTATATGTCACTCATCCAAATTTACAATGAATAGATCTATGATATGCTGAGTGATAAAACCTAGCATGCCAGAAATTAAACCATAGAAATTCCTTTGAAAATTCGTGAAGATAAGATACAAGGCATCTATCTAGAGAACTTAAGTGAATATATAGTCTCAAATAAGCAATAATGTCTTGATTTACTTATGCAAGGAGAAAAAATTAGAGCCAAGAGAAGTACAAGGCTAAATATTTTAAGCTCCCGGTCTCATTCAATCTTCCAGCTGCTGATAGAAAGTGATAAAGCAGATGAAAAAGGGATGCTTAAGAGAGCAAAACTAAATATTGGAGACTTAGCAGGTTCTGAAAAGATTTATCTAGAGGAATTCCCAGATGCTTAACATATGAATGAGCTTAAGAACATTAACCTTTCTCTTACTTATTTGGGCAAGGTTATCTCTATGTTAGCTTAGAATTCTAATGCAAAAGATAGAGATTAGCACATTCCTTTTAGAAATTCAAAACTCACAAGGATTCTTCAAGACTCTTTAGGAGGAAATACCCGAACATGTCTGATTGCTAATGTCTCACCTATCATCGATTACATAGAAGAGACCATCTCCACTTTAAAGTTTGCAGATAGAGCTTAAAATGTCCAGATGAAAATATCCAAGAATGAAATAAATGCTCAAGATGATGCATTGATCTAAAAGCTATAAAAAGAAATCCAGCATCTAAAAGACCTGCTGCAAATGCGAAGAAAAGGAGATTAGGTTAACATTCATTAGCAAATATATTAGCTTAAGGAAGAGAATGAAAGACTGAGAGCTATGGCGATGACAGTCGCTGACGTCGAATAACTAAAACAAGAAAATAAGGAAATGAGACTGCATCTATAAAATCTATTAATAAAGCAAAGCCAGCTCGAGAATGAAAAAGAATAGTAAATTGACAAACTCTAGAAAGAATAAAATAATAGAGATTAATAAGAAGACTAATCTGAAAATCAAGAAGATCAAATATTTATCACCTAAGATGACATTGAAATTAGAGATCAGTAGGAAGCAATCAAAAGACATTAAAAATCTAAGCAAATAAATGAAGAAGTTTCAATTGGTGGTAATGTTGTGAAAAATGAGGTGTTTATTAATAATGCATTGTTATTCTCTTTTGACGAATAATACTCTCAAAAAATGCTTAGCAAAAACGACAGAAGTTAAGATGCCTTAAAAGTGAAATAAAAATTGATAAATTAGAGTACAAGGTCTAACAATAGTATGGTAAATGGCTAATTTTGGGAATAATAGGTTTAGTAGGTCCCAATGACTAATAGAGATCTGTTCAAAACCTAATAGAGTTCTTAAATGCCATACTAAATCTAGCTATAATTAAAAGAAAATATTCAAAATAAAATAGCATCAAGTGATAACAGCTAGATAATAGAAGACAGAGATGATATAGAAAGCAAAATGCGAGGGTATTATGATGAATTAGAGGAAAACGATGAAAAAGATTAGCATACAAGCTTTGATAACTACTAAATTAAAAGTATTGGGAAACAGGCCAGAAATAAGATAGAATAATTCATTGAGCTAAGTTAAAATGTGAGAGAGCTAAATATAACTCAACAAAATGATGACTAAAATCAGAATAGCAATCGGATCTTTAGCAATATCAGGAAGATTATAAATCCAAAGCCAAATTAAAATTTAGTTCAATCCAATAGATACGGTAATTCAAAATTAGATAGCCAAATTACTCCAAAAGGACCTTTATTGATTAAAACTGAGGATCAAATACTCCCAGACATCAATAGTTCGATGAGCATTCACTAATCTTATAAAAACTCAATTCAAAATACTAATAACATAGCAAAGACCATTGAAACTTCACCATTCAAAAGCTCTCTAGATGTAAATATACCTGATCTTTATTAAAGATTAGCAAAGGGGATCAGTTCAATATAGAATTAAAAATCGAGAATGAAAAATAATTAAAGAGAGACCTACTCTAATCTATCTAGAGCTCCATAATATTCAAGCATGCTGCACAGATAAAACTCATACAAGAGGAGAGAAATAAGCATAAATTAAAGTGGTAGTAATAATGTTGGAGGGAGTATGGTTGGAAATGGATACTCCAGAAATCAAGCTAATATAAATACCTACAATACAGAAGTCTAGCCCAATTAAAGCGGCAAGCGAAGAAATATCATCAATTTAAATAGAACCAGTTTTGATGAATAAGAACAGCGGCTGAATAAATAGTAGCAAGAAGAATTAAGGAAAGCAAATTAGAGATTGAAACTATTAGATCAGCTAGAACAGTAAAGAAAAGCAAAGTTTGAACAAGAATTAGATTTTCTTAAAAAGCAGCACATGCAAAATTAAAATAGAGTTTCCTATGATTAATTCAGGAAGCTTTGAATGCAATTATATCATATAATGACTGAACTGTAAATGATAAAATCTAACCTTAATTTCATTATTTCCTAATTTGTGAAGATTTATTTCCCAAGGGGTTTTGGGGTTTTGGGGTTTTGGGG